GTAGTTCGTTGTTTGTTGTTGTTTAGTTAGTTAGTTAGTAGAGAGAGAGAGAGAGAGAGAGAGAGATTTGGCTCTCTTTGATTGAGAGATTTTTGGCTTTTGAGAGAGATTTTGCTGTGTGTTTTTATTGGATATTTGATTTGATTGTTGCCATTTAGAAAAAATCTAATCTATTCAAAGAGAAGGAAGATGGGCTTGTAATTTTTTACAATGAGAGGTTTGATTGACAGAACTGGCTTGGATTCAATAATGGAGATAGAGGTGATTGTCTGCTCAATTTTTCTTTAAATAATCGGAAAGATTATTGTTTTGCCCGTGTAGGCAGATTAGATAAAAAATTAAAGGGTTTAGTTTGTATAAAGCCGTGGCCCTGAACAATCAAATTAAGGCACGCCTTCAAATGATATCGAAGGATGTTTCAATATTGAAAATCTCTGAGATCCAGTGAGAATAAATTTTCATCTCTAATTATAAATTTTAAAATTTTAAAAATAATGTAGGTCTACAAGATTTCAAGTCTCGAAATCTATATTTTCTTATTTCTATATATCTTGAGAAATTTTTATCTATATTTTCTTATTTCTATATATCTTGAAAATTTTTTAGGTGCGTCTCGATTGTTTTAGTGTCGCACCTACGTAAACTTTTTCCTAGTTTAAAGAGATGTGGAGGCACCAAAGGATGGTCTTACCGAAGCACAAAATCCTTGTAATGGTGACGGACCACGTGTCAGTGATGGTCTTGCCGTACCACCAACTCTTGTTCCTGTGGTTGCAAGGAGTTGAGAATGAGATATTACCTCGCGTTTAGTTTATGTTTTGGAAGAGACAAAAGAGGGCAAGAAGGATAAGGCGATCTTCAACTCTGTTTTTGTTACCTCATCTTTGGCAATTGATACAAGTGGTGGATTCCTATATTTTATTATTTTTTTAAAGATTTTGTCTGTTTTCTCTTTTGAAAATCAAAAGAGTGAATTCTCAAGCACAATAACATGAGGACACGGTTTCTATGAGTTAATGTGAGTTCTTGTTGAAATGAGTCTCCTCTTAACTATCTATTTTTTAGATTAATTTTTTGGCCCAATTTTTAAGGACATATATTCTTTAACATGGAGATTATGAATATAGAAAAAATGAATAAATTTTGAAAATTATAAATAATAATTTTATAAATAAAACATTTGGACCAACTATTTTTAGATGGACTGCCTATTTGCATCCATCTTTAAGATTGATGCTTAAAAACGTACATGCATCAGTCTATTAATGAAATAATTTTTCAAAACATATAATATAAGGTCATTCATATTTTGTACAAGATAGGTCATAATCATTTTTATTCATAAGATGTAAAATCTAATGGATCGAATCATCTTGCAACATTTAAGAAATTTTATTTTGGACATTGTGTCTAATTAATAATATATTTTTAACCATCCAATTTTATGAATCATAGTCAATAATAATTGTGATCTTTCTATATTAAAAAAAAAAATGATCTCATTGTGTATACTTTCGTAACGTTATGTTATAGTTATTAAAAAGTGTCACATTCTAGTCTTATTTCTGACATATTTAAAAGGAAAAGAAAAAACTATACAATAAGACAGTTTATTGATTGTACAAAAGAGTTGTCGATCGTATTCGATCATTAGATGCAAAATTGAGCGGTTGGGGGGTGTATAAGCTTTTGACTATGCTCAGAGCTAGAGAAAAATATTCTTGAACAGTTGAATTGAACTTTAAGGTGCACCTCTAGATTTGAAATTTGATGGTTGAGAAGGACTGTTCTATCAAAAGTAAACAGTCTCACAGTGTATAGGTTTATAATTTTTTACTTTTGTCCTACCTACAAGGTTTGGTTATATATTAATTATTAAGTAACGAAAGCCTTTATTATTTGCTCTGAGAATATTCCAAAATCTTCTCCAATAGCATTGGGAATTTGGGATATTTGACAAAATGGACAATATTTTTATTCGATACCAACATTTTAGATATTATAAACTTTTAGGCATCTAGGAAAAGCCAAGGCATGATGCCTGCATCAATGGTCGACGTCAAAATGGTCTCATCTTTAAAAAATGCAGGTCGACTACTTCAAGGACAATAGAGGAGGTATTTAAATTGAATACTCCCTTTCTTTTATGGTTTTCGGTTTGGCTTGTGCTTTTCTCCGTTCCCATCTCCTAAGAGAAATATCCCATAGAAATTTGTTCCATGAGTAAGCGGTAGGAATTGTAGTGGACCCTGACCCAATCCCGTGACCCAAAGGGTAGACCCGACCCAGATCTGGGTATGGGATCGAAAATTGGACCCGATAGGTTGGGTCTAGGTTCAAATCTTCGACCTGAATACTATTTGGGTTTGGGTTCGGGTCCCACTATATTTTTAGGTCCTAATTTATGAAAATAATTAAATATATGTAAATACATATATATTTTAATTTTTTGGTGGGTCCAATCAAGTCCGATCTAGATCCCACATTATATTATCGGGTCCAAGTCCTATAACTTCCAAGTCCTATAACTTTGGGTGCGAGTCCCACATTGTATTTTTGGGTTCAAGTCTTGGTCTTGTGATTTTACGTCTGGGTCCGAGTTTGGGTCCAGCCAGACCCAAACTCATCCCGATCCGTCCCTTTGCCACCCTTAGTCGGTGGGTGCAAGGGCCCGCTTTAAGGTGAAAGTTAGAAGGGGATTGTGTGTGTGTGTGTATATATATATAGTAATGATCCTATAGGACGCTCTCCCTTCTATGTGTATAGGACTCCAAATAATCATCATTAAAATTGGCACGGATCTTTAGAAAAGTTATCACATGGGTGTGGGACTTGACTTTAATATAGATCCGTGCTAAATTTAATGGTGATCCTTTGGGGTCCTACACACATGGGTGGGGAAGGATCCTATACACAGTTCACTTGGCATCAACAAAGGGACCAGTTTGCCATCCCAGTGGCGTAGTGTAATAATTCTAAAATTTTTTAAAAAAAAATAAAAAATAAAAATAAAAAAGAAGGAAAGAAACTCTTAATAAGTGATGGTCTTTATGAGCATGATGGTCCTTAGGGACCATCACTGTTTTCAAAATCTTTTGGTTAAGTTTCTTTTGTTTGCTCCTGCCTTGCCACGTCAAGTGGACGGGGGCTTTAAGCATATAAGGAGTATTGTAACGGTTACACCTCGTTTATGAGGTGTCACTTAATAAAATATTATAATAAGGTGTTGTAAGAGTTTAAATACGAGAGGCGAGGACTCCCACCCTAGAAAACTTTTGAAATCTTTCCCTTTCTGGTCGAAACACAGTGAGCTCCTCTCCCTAGCCGAATTTTTATCTGAAGCTCCCTCTCAAATATTTTAGGTAAGTGACATTGTCTTTTTGAAAAATAGTCTATTTTTAATAAATAGTGATATTTCCGTCTAGGATCTTTATTTTATCAGTTTTGTGTCTAAGTGACCTCATTGTCTCGAAAAATAATCCATTCTTTTTAAAAATAAAATGAAATAGTTATTTCTGCTTATTATCATGAATTTTAGGCGCGATAAATTTTATGCGCACGTGACCTCATTATCTTGAAAAATAATCTTTTTAATAAAAATTGTGATATTTTATCTATGTTAGAAATTTTGAATGCTGTAAATTAGAAAAGTAAAATTATTTATTTTTCTTGTCTATTGTTAGAAATAAATGTGATATTTCTGCTTTTGGTAAAATTGTGATATTTCTTTCTACTGTTTTGAATATTTAGACATTGAAAAATTCATGTGCAAATGACTGCCTTATTATTTAAAAATTGACATTTTTGTAATTGATTATAGTATTGTTGTGAAATGTTTATTTGTGGATTGATATCCCATAAATTGTGATAATTCCGTATTCTTGAATTTTTATACATATTTGATTGGTTATTTTTGAAATGTTATAGAGAGTGACTGTTATTAATGGTTTAAGTGAAATTCATATTAATAGTTTCAGTGATATGTTGAGTACATGATATTGCTGCTTTCGAATGTTTAAAGAGATTTAGAAATAATTTAAGTATGCAAGTAGACTCATCCGGTTCGCCGGTGAGGTATAAGTGGACCTATCTGGGACGCCGGTAGGGATTAAGTGGACTCATCCGGTACGCCGGTGAGGTATAAGTGGACCTGCAGGGATTAAGTGAACCTATCTGGGACGCTGATAGGGATTAAGTAGACCCATCAGGACGTTGATGGGTATATAGGTTA